TTACACTATGGCAACACAGCGAAATCACTGAGCCAGAACCGGTTTGACCGCTATGTGAGTAGGACATAAAATGTCATGCTCCGCAACTGTCGAAGATCAAAGTTTACGTGGCAAAGGCCACCGTTCGTTATGTAATCAAGATATTTTACGGTTATTGAATTTTCCGAATGACACGAACTGGAGGAATACGTTACTATTAATTGTGGACCTTGGAAACGGACCCTATAACATTGAAGATTTTGTTCCTTCACTGAGTAGTGTTATCGACCTCAAAGACATCGTCCACTTTGGTGCCAGTGTAGTGACTCATGTCTACATTATAGGGTGCGCATACTTTTAGCTCTGATCTCGCCCCTAGCGCGCTCAGCCTGTATACTTTTTGTTAGCTACCAACGAGCACAGCGTATACTTTTCGCACCCGTGACGTCATTGCTAGCATTCCTAGCGCACTCGGCATGCCCTGAGAACTTACAACGAGCTTGGCGTTAGTTCAAAAATGGCGGCGTCGACGTTACTGTTTCTTTACCGGACGGAAAAGAAGTTCAACTACACGTTAATGAAGTCGTTTGTCGTCAGATGATGGAAGGTAAGTAAAAAGGGATTCCTAAAAGTGTACAATTTTATATCATAAATCCTATTTCGATAACAGAGGCTTCGTTACAGATGTAAATTATGCCAGAGAATTGGCTTTGACGACTCTTTCCACTGTTTCAGTTAGACCGAGTATCCCTGCTGGTAAGTCAAATTTTGATTTCGAATGAAATTGTTGAAAGGATAAACCAATAAACTAAAATCATGATGTAATTAGCGCTGATTGTTAAAAAAATTTTAGAATTTTTAATCTGTTATAATAAGGGCTACATATGCTAAATATTTTTTATCTTTTATTAATCTTTTATTATAGAGGAACCCCGTGGCTTCCAATGGCCCAAAGCCAGGATCATTCAATTAATTTCTTTATACAACGAACACAGGGAGAAGTTTGAATTACCTCAATATACAAATATTCAGGTTGTAGCCTACTGCTTGTCAAATTAACGTTGTACCTGTGAACCTTTCATAAATAATTTCTAACAACCTTCTCTAATATTATAGATATGGAGACTAATTTTAAATAAATTAAATGAGGATGGGTTTTCGGTCACTCCAGCTAAGGTTACACCAAATGGCAAGGACTGAAAAAAACATTTAAAAATTCAAACTCCATAATTCCCAATCTGGTAACAACCAAAAGCATTGGGAGTTTAATTCTTTAATGGACAATGCCATTGGGAGATGGCCAGAAATTTCCCCTGTTGCTACTTGGAGTGAGAGTAAATTCACACTCAAGTTCCACTCCGTCATCCCCGTCTCCTGTTGCCAGCACATCATCATCCACAACCAGTTCTCGTAAGAGAAAATAAGAAAGCAGCAGGTTGGTGAAAGCTTTAAATGAAATAAGAAGAGAAATACAGGAGAGGAGGGAAAAAAGGAAGAACGAGCGTGAAAAGTGAAGTGAACCATGAAGTGCTAAATAAAATTTTAGAAAAATTTTAAATTAAAAACTTTTTGTTTTCAATATAAAAAGAACTTTTTTCATATGAAGTAAACAAAACTCATTTTTAATATTTTTGATGTAATCTTTATTTCATAAACTTTTGGATATATCTTAATTACTTAATATTTGATTTTGTATGTGTATATATATAAAGTTATATACAGAAAAGATATATATTACAGAAAATTATATAATACATATACATACAAAAAGTTATACAGTGATTGATTGGATAACAAACACTTTCATGAAAGATTTTTGTTCGGACAACAAACACTTCATATAAACAAGAAGTGTTTGAATTTATTATTTAAAAAATTAATAATTTTATTTCATTTTTAGCATTTATGTTATTAAATTAATGCTGTATTCGAATTGCAAAAAGAGTGTTAGCCAAATCATTACGCTTATTTTGTGCCTCTCTTCTTGCTTGGACATTTTCAATTTCTACTGGCACTCCAACTAATCTTTCCTCTTCAATATTAAGTTCATCTCCTTCTAAAATAGAAAAGTTGTGGAGAATGCATCCTGCCATAATGAGCATTACCATTAAGTCCAATCGATGCATATCGAGAAGTTTGAAGCGTCTGAACCGACCAACAAACAACCCAAATGTTCTTTCAATTGAGCTTCTGCATTTGGAAAGCTTAGTATTGAAGTACGACTGAATTTCAGTTAAATGGCCATTGTCTCGGTATGGTGTTAACAAGTATTTGTTTAAGGGATAGGCTGCATCACCAAGGAGGTGAGTGTCTATCGGAAATCCTACACCTTCATCAATTCTTTTAGATAATGTGGATAGAGTGGGGTTGGCCAACTTTCAGGTTTTCGACAGATTTGTCCGCTGAAAACAGGTTTGGATTAGGCAGGTTTTGTCTGCTGAAACGAGGTTTTTAGGAGGTTAGGAAATATTGTTCAGTACATTTTTGCCCAAAAATAGTCTAGACTTAGGAAAATAAACCCAAAAAGAAGCTAGGTTGGAATAGCAGAGCTTCAAGGTTACAATGGAAAAAAACTGAAGAAAAGCCACCCTCAATGGAATAGGAAGTTTTGTCCTGCTGTTACCAACATATTTGGGTGATGCAGCAGGACTTCGAGTCAGAATTTTTCAAATCGCTGAAGGATGTAACAATGCTAGCAGCATGAACAAAAGCGCAAATGCTGGCGGTAGCCAAACTGAAACTTACTGGCATAGCTCGAGGGTTCATCAGAAAATACCGGCAGAATAGAGAGGTAAAGATGATCACAACGAATTGAAGCAGATCATGATAGAACATTTTGAATGTGAACCTTTTCGTTCAGATTGAATAGATTCTATTCATGTGTTCAAAAGAAAGAGAAGGATGTACATATGTATGCTGTCTAGCTGCAGGCATTAGCCATGGAAATCGAGATTACACCGGAGCCCTGTGAGGATGCTGCCATTATTCAGATAATTCAAAGCAAAGAGTTAAATGAGCAACTGAAAGCCTAATTCTTAAACAGAGCAGATATCAAAATAAGAGAGTGAGTCATGTCACAAAAGCCAGCGAAATTCAATAACACGCTCAAAGCAGCCATAAGTAAAGAAAGTATTGAGTCTGACAGCAAATCTAGTGCTACTATTGGCAGCTAATGTTTCCCAATAATTAGGAAACATTAACTGCCGCTATCAAACAACTACAAAATAAATTAAATCAAATCTCAAACCAGTCGATCAAATATCATACCAGAAGAAGCAATTATTGTCTGACTTCCTATCCTCGCCGACAACAAAATAGACCATTTGCGTAGAACTAGCGCATACACAACAACAAGCCGGATTCCTCCTGCGACGATGATAAGAGATGCAGAGGGACCATTCGGACTACGTCAACTCAAACAAGGCGTAACCCAGTACTTCTATGATACATTAATAATCTTTCAGTCAAATTTTCCACAGATCTAAAGCTCAGTGACACATCAGTGTCTAATGAAGTTGCCAATCAGATCAAACGGAAAGCACCCGTTAAATTTGGAATAAAACAGAAGATTAGGAAGGCTGATGAAGAAACAATACAGACCATAGGCATGACTGCACCTAAGTTCAAGTTGCGTGGATACAAATTTTCCAATTTGTGTAAAATGTCTGATCGAATAATATCGCCCCCTACGAAAGAGTGATTAGTAAAGCACTTTTAGAGCAAGAAAGGTTAATACTCGATGAAGACAACGGGCGGCTTATTTTACCAAATGGTAAAGTTAGTCAATTTTGTTTGTGGTTGAAGCCTAAAAAGTCAAGACATAGAAGAAAAACAAAAGCTCACTGGAGAGAAGATGGTGCAAACATCCTTTACTTCATGCTATAAACTCCCACTACTCTACGAAATCAAAAGGAAAGTTTACACGGAACAGAGTCAAGAGCCACAAATGATCTAAATTATGTGGTCGAGGATCCTGGTAAGGAACAGACAACCTGACCTAGGAAACTATGTCAAAACAAAAATAAAAATAATCAACGTAAAAACAGGGGAAACCAATTCCCATTCAGAACAACCCTCTATATCTAATCTAACCTAAATTGTCGAACATTAGGAACATTAGGAACATCTGACGTTATTTTTTTATTCACGAATGCTTTTGTACTAAATTTCAAGTGTGAACTAAAATGGGGGGTAAAGGTCAACTCTATTTCACCAGAAGTCACAGCATGGAAAGTTCCCAAGCAAGAAATCCGGACATTAGCACTGCTTTTCGCCAAACAGTTTATTGATGCAGTCTTCTCTTATAAAGGATGCCTCAGAATCGCTATCCAGTAAAGCTCGACAAGTTACGAAATTTCCAGATGAGTCGCTTACCTTGACTAGAGCAGTACAAAGTAAGACCTGTTTAGTTCCTTTAGACCTACTCTAATCCGATAGCACTCGAAGAATCAAAAAGTCCAGCACAAGTAGCGGTAGTTGGACTCGATAAATCATATGGCGTCGATTGGAAGGGAGGAGCATCAGTCAAGAGTGGACTAAATGCCTTCCCAGAATTCAGAGCGGAGGACACTTCAGAATCTCTACTGATATGTAACATGGTATGATGTAATTTGCCACATATTCTGCATCTGCTTAAACTCATTCAGGTTTTAGCTTGGTGTCGAGCAGTAAGGCAATTAAAGCATAGTCTATTCTTTTTAATCATATCTATCCTCTTCTGAGTGCTCAACTGTGTGAACCTTGAACATTTAAATAATGAGTGCTCATTCTTACAAAGAAAGCAAGTATTACTACCAGATACCAATAATGTCACTTTTGGATACGAAACACTTCTCTGTTCCTTAGGTGGCAACTTAATAGCTTGAAGGGTTCTCGCATGATCCTTCAAGAAGGTAAGCAAGGTCCTTCTTTAAGGTACGTTCCCACCAACTCCTAGTATTTTTATTGAATTTTTCCGTAATTAAATAAACTATTAACACTTCAGGAAACCCGGTAATATCCTGGTCAAGCACACTCAACGATCAGACGCATTCATTTGTAATATCCACAGCTTGTAATATAGACTGAGATGAATCAGTGATACTCAAAATGGTTATTAATTTCTTGATCAAAGCATTTACCAGCTCGCGTTTATTAGAAAACCGCTCGCGTAAGAGTTCCATTGCAGTTTCATAGTTAGAATCCAATATTGGAAGTGACTTTATAATTTTCAAAGCATAACCTCTACAAGATGATTTTAAATATTGTAATTTCTGACAATTCGACAGATTAGAATTATTGCCCACACTAGCCTTAAACAGGTCCTGGAACGATACCCAGTCTTCAACATTTCAACTAAAGGTCAAAAGAGACAATTTCGGAAGTCTTACATTTGGTACCTGTGATTTTAAACTATCGGCATTACTTGTGGAATTAACTCGTCATTTAGAGTTCTTCCGTTTTACCAAAGTTCGTTAATACAGTAGTCTCCTCAATAGATCGCTGTTTTTCTATATACATTTCGATTTCCTTATTGTTATATCGCGAAAAGACCTCATGAAATACATCATGTAATTCAACTCTAAATTTCTTAATATTAGTTTAGAAGAGTTCTATTTGGGTATCGTCTGCGACCTAAACACCAGCACTTATCCTTTCCCTAAGCTTGGTAGTGTTGGACTTAAGGACTTTCTTTTTGGTCAACGCACACTTAAGACTGTATTACTCGAGCGTATCAAATCCTACTTCTGCAAAGTTAATCCAGAAAAGGTGAGAACTAATGCACGTAGGAGAAAGTTTCCAAAGTTTCCAATCCAGCAGAATATGCTACACGTCCATTACACCATCCGTTGCACTATCCAATACACCATCCGCTACATAATCCTCCTCGACAAACCAAATATTCACAACTTAAATGGACTGTATACAAGCACACACAATAATTCCACTGTTAAAACAACTTTATTAGTTTCGACAAGCCGAAACACTCATACAATACTGCTCGGAGTAACAGAGAAAGACCAATCTGGGACCGAAAAAGAGGATTAATTAATTTAATAACCAATAAAGTGACGATTAAGATATTTAAACCCAGGCCACAAGGATACTTGATTCTTTGCGGTGGCATTCCGCGAGGCTATGTCCTTGACCGGGATGCTTCTGCCAAGGTTCCACCTTCGTCCTTAGCCGATGTATCCTCTGAAAGTTACAGACCTACATTGAGAGAAACTTCGGAAATTCCGATCCGCATTCACCAGACATCGTTTCCTGTTCGACAACTTGTCTTAGAATGCAACATCCAGTCAGCGAAAGGAAACCACCTTCTTCATCGGACTTTCTTCTTCTTTTTCGAAGACTACGCGCCGAAGTATACAAGGACTTCAACCCTTCGTGACTATGAACTTATTGTAAGTAAATTGTCTAATAAACGTGTTGTGTTGTTTGTAAAAGAGGAATCTATCTCTGACTCAACTGCTCTCAATTGGTTGGTGCAAGTTTTCTGGCACAAGGGCCATTCAGGCCATGCTGCGCCAAAGCAAATGGTAAAATTAATAAATAAATTAACATAATATATATAACAAAATATAGATACAACACAAACATAAATAAGTTAAAATAAACAAAACAACAAAACAGGTATAAATATATAATAAATAGTGATAATAAAATATGATAATAAATAATAAATAAGTATATGAATAATTAATTAAATTTCTTTATAAATATTTACAACTTTAAGAAAGTTCAGTAACTTATCAAGATTTGGTCTCTTGCCCAAAATCTCACTCAAACTTGCATTTCCAAAATGCTGTCTACGACATTGATCAAGAGCAACGCAATTGCAAAGTATGTGTTTAACACTTACGGTACAATTGCAGTACTGACATACTGCTTTGTCATCTCCCTTCAAAACGTATTGATGAGTCAGTCGAGTGTGTCCAATTCTCAAACGAGTAAGGACAACCTCAGATCTCCTATCATACTGCCTATTGTGTGTCCAATTTTCTATCAAAGGTTTGATCTCGTGTAGTTTATTGTGGATTTGTGCGTTCCACATATTTTGCCATCTCTCTGCTAGTCGTTTTTTAACGACCAGCTTCAAATCACCTCCTTCAATATGCATTGTATGCTGTGAAGGGCTTGCTGACTTAGCAGCTGTATCAGCTTCTTCATTACCTCTTATACCCACATGGCCTGGGACCCAACAGAACTTCACAAATAAATTTCTCATAGTAAGATGACAAATTAGTTTTCGAATTTTAGTAACTGCGGAGTGTGAACAAGGTTCATACGAGATCAGAGCCTGAAGTGCACTAACTGAGACAGTGTAAATCACGCAGCAGCGATGACCTTTCCTATTAATATACTTTAAGGCTAAATAAATAGCCTGCAACTCCGCAGAAAAAATGGAGGAATTCGGTGCTATTTGTTCTGCCACAATTTCATTTTGGCAAACAAAGGCTAGGCCAACGTAGTTATCCGACTTCGGTCCATCTGTATAAATAGGAATTAAATTCCTGTCACAATGTTGAATTTGTGCGAAGTGCTGTCTATAGACGCAGTCTGGCGTGGTTTCTTTGGGGAACTGCTTTAAGCTTAAATCAACATCTATCACTGGGGTTGACCAAAATGGAATACTATTAACCTCAACCTGTGAGATGTTGCTTGTGTTAAGGTCAATTGTGCTGCTTACATTCTCCATTCTTATGATGAATGTGGGAACACTACTTCGCCGAGCAACAAATAGTCGTTTAAGCTGAGTATCTGATACTGTAAGTTCGACTGAAGGTTTAGTATAAGATTTCTGTTTTATATAATAGAAAAGAGACAACTGTTCTCTCCTAAGAGATAGTGAAGGCTCATAAGCATCCACATACAAACTTTGGACAGGGGAAGTCCGAAATGCACCAGTGCACAAACGTAATGCTTGATGGTGGATTGGATCCAGCATCCGAAGAGTAGATTCTCGCGCAGAGCCATAAACAATGCATCCGTGATCTAGCTTTGGGCGGACAAGGGCCCTGTAAATCCTGAGCATAGAAACTTTGTCTGCTCCCCAGGATAAGCAGCACAGTACCTTTAAAAGGTTCAGAGATTTTAAACATCTACTCTTCAAATTGCGTAAGTGTGGTAAGAACGTCAGTTTAGAATCAAATATGACTCCCAAGAACTTCGTCTCGTTGACCATTGGGATTTTAACCCCATTTAGGTAAATTTCAGGATCCGAGTGCAAACCACGCCTTCGGCAAAAGTGGATGCACGAGGTCTTCTCTATGTTGAAACTAAAACCATTGGTCTTGGACCAATGGTCTATGCGATTTAAAGAGGTTTGCAGTTGTCTCTCGATAAAGCTCATGTTGCTAGACTGGCAGGAGATCTGAAAGTCATCCACATACAAAGAGTGTTTCACACTAGGGGGAAGACAGTTAGCTATGCTATTAATTTTAATTAGGAACAGAGTCACACTCAAGATAGAGCCTTGAGGGACACCTTCTTCTTGTGTGAAAAGCCTAGATAAGGTGTTGCCCATCCTGACATAGAATCTTCGATTCTGTAGGAAGTTTTTTATAAAAATTGACAAATTACCCCGCAACCCATATTCGTACAGATCACAGAGTATCCCGTATCGCCAACAGCGATCATAAGCCTTCTCTATATCGAAAAATACAGACACTAGGTGCTGTCGTCTAACAAACGCTTCACGTATAGATGTTTCAAGGTTTACTAAGTTATCAGCGGTACTTCTGTTCCTATGGAAACCACTCTGATGTGGTGAGAAGTATTCATTTTTCTCTAAGAGATACATCAAACGTCTGTTTACAATCCTCTCAAAAAGTTTACACAGGCAACTTGTCAGAGAGATTGGTCTGTAATTAGAGGGATTGTTGTGATCTTTACCAGGTTTGGGAATGGGAATAATGATAGATAGCCTCCAAGAGTCAGGAAAAGTATGTTCTGTCCATATTCTGTTGAACAGACACAGAAGATTACAAAGGGAATTGTTTGACAGATTTTTAATCATGCTGTAGTGGATTTTATCTGGTCCTACAGCACTATTCCCCGAGCGAGAGATCGCTGTATGTAGTTCTATGCTAGTGAATGGCACATTATAGTCCTCATTATATGAGGAGCGAAAGTTTAAATATTGTTTTTCACTTTGGGCTTTATAAGCCTGAAAATTTTTTGGATACATAATATTGCTGGATGAAGTAGAAAATGTTTCACCCAACGTATCAGCAATGCCCTGTATATTGCTGATTATTGTGCCATTATTTTCCAGCATGGACACAGAGTGAGAAGCATGTTTCCCATTGATTTTATGGATTTTATCCCAGACTGCTTTTGAGCTAGTGGAAGATGTTATGCTTGAAACATACTTCCTCCAAGAATCCCTTTGGCTTTGCTTTTTGAAAAGCTATCAAATTTCTAGTAGTGGGGTATCTTCTAAAAATTCCCCATGCTTTCTTTTTTGCTTTAAATGCTACCTCGCAATTCTGATCCCACCATGGTTTCGGATGCTTTGGGTATCTAGTTGATGTCTTTCCCATTGTTTTTTCGGCTGCCTGAATAATACTGGAAGTGACAACTTCAACTGCATCATTGATGTCTGCAGTATTGACCATTTCCTCAGTGATGTTGGCCAAAGAGGAGAATGTGGACCAATCTGCTGTTTCAAGTTTCCAGCGTGGTGGACGGGCTGTTTCACAGCTTTCTCTGCCTTGATATTTTAAAAATATTGGGAAGTGGTTGCTAGAGAGTGGATTAGATCCAACCTCCCATGAAAATGCTGAAAACATATTTGGAGTTGCTAATGAAAGATCAATGGCAGTGAATGTTCTTGATGGGACATGGAAGTATGTCACCTCTCCAGTATTAAATAGATACAGTTGATGATTACCTATAAATCTCTCAATGGCTCCGCCTCGACGATTGATGTCGGGACTGCCCCTCATAGGATTGTGGCCATTAAAATCACCAAGTAAAAGGAATGGTGTTGGCAGCTGTTCAACTAAGGCATCCAGTTCATTCTCATCGACTCTGACATCTGGTAGCAAGTTTATAGAACAAACTGTGACAGTTACTCCAATAGAAATTCTGACTGCCACAACTTGCAAATCAGTTGTTATTTGTACCGGTAAGGATGGGATGCGGTTTGAAACCAGTATAGCCACACCTCCACTGGCACGATTGTGGCTATCGTCATCCTTGCGGTAGAGATCAAATCCTTTTAAAGAAATTTTTCCTCCAGGTTTTAAATGTGTTTCCTGGAGTGCCACGCAGAGAGATTGGGTAGATGATGTCAAGAGTTTAATGTCAGAGAAGTTGTTGCGGAAACCACGACAGTTCCATTGGGTTATTTTATAACCCATTATGTGTTCGAGGTAGCATTCTTTGTGACAGTATCTCTTTTTAATCTAACTGGGGGTGCTCTCACATGACGTTGATTGTTACTGCTCGGCAGTCCAGACGGCAATAGAGAAGACGACGATATATATCACTTATTAACGTTAATTACGTTTTCTACATTTTTCCTTTTCTATGCCCCACAGTTTATGCAATTTTCTTTTAATAATTATTCGAAATATGCTTTGGTCATACATGATATTTGATTTCGAAATTTCTGTAAGTCTTTTAATGTTTTATTGTCGAAAAATATATTGTTATCTATGTTATTGTATTTTAAGTTTACTTGATTATGGAATTTTAAAATGTCGTGGTAGTAATAATGCTGAAGAGGGGCGTGTTATGATATGTGTACAAAAAAACTACTACATATGATAAAATAAAGAATTATTGATTTTTTTCTGATTATGAACTCATCCTTGTGTCGATAACCAATACACTAGTATATAAAGTCCTATTAATAAGTTATGTCCACGTACACAATTTGTAATAAAGTAGAATAAAAGACTGTAAGGCAACTAAATTTAATCAAAAACAGACTTTATATGTTACAGAATACCATTTTGAGTGTTACACCCTTCATCAGTTTTTCTTTACACATGCCTGATAGATTTCGCGATTGCTGTTTTGTCGTTTATACTAAATGGAATTAACATATTTAATAAACATTTAAATTGTAATGTATTAACAATTCTATTAAATATGAAATTTTCATGACTAAGCTAAAATTTTGTTCACAAGATATTCCTATAATCAATGATTATAAAATTGAGTTTATTTAAAAATTATAAATTAAAACCAAATTAATTAAAACGACGAAAATAGTTTGTACAGAATTATTTTCGATTGTGTACATTTTCTTTATCTATGAATGTTTAATTTACTTCACTTCCTATCGATATTTTCTCTCTTCGTAGCACTGTTGAATAGGAATAGATCGATGAGTTACGATTACATCTACAGTGACAATCGATACGAAACAGATTACGAAATAGAAGTAAAACGTATTGCATTACACAATTCATAGAAAATGATCAAAAGCAAACAGCAAACGTACAGTAATATTTTTCATATAATACGAACATGAATTATCTCGATCAACAATTCAGATGTGTACGTGTTATATTGGATCCACTTTTGAATTCAGCAAAAGTATTTGGTCTCGATTTCGTTATTTTATGTCATTGCGTACAGCAGAAAAGAAGGGACTTGAAATTGAAGGGCAAAAATCTATTTAAAATATATTTTGATTTCATTGAAGTGTCATTATGGACGGTGGTTGTTGTTTACGTTTATTGGATATTTAATATAAACTGTTATTGTCTGCGCATTATTCATTACTTAAAAGAGTATGCTTGGGAAGGAACTATAGTAAATACATTAGTTATCACGTATGCTGCTATACAGTTTAGTATTTTAAAAAGAAGAAAAATATCTTTGCACTGCATTCAAAGTTGTTACAAAGAAGAATGTAAAGTAATTGATAAAATCGAAATTTTCCAACTTTATTCACTTATTATGCTTTTTGCAGTACTCTTAACTATTTCTGTTTTCTCTCAGTTAGTTGTGTATTCGGAAATAAAACGACAAAATGGATCAGATACAGAAGCGTTAGTTTGCAGCGTTAGCATTGCAGTCATATACACTTATTCGTTTGCACAAATTTTGTCAGTTGTCTTTATTCTATACTGTTTATGCGTTATCGTATTACGCAGATTAATGAAGCTTTCTGAAGAGCTAAGAAATATGAATACAGAAAGTAATAACTTACGAATAAAATTAGAGTTATTTATCAACAAAGAGATGGAAATATGGAGACTTATAAGCTTGGGGAATGACAAATGGGAAATGCTAATACCTTTAATATATACAAGTGCCATGAACATATCCAGCATTTTGTTATATGCTGCGATATTCGTAAATGCCGACTCAAATGTAAAATTTCTGCTTATAAGTGTTTCTATAGTATTCGTAATGGGATGCGTTATAATAAGCACAGTGTTGTCAAATTTTGTTTCAGAGGTATGTATTATTTTCTTTTCAATAATTGAAAAACATTGTTTTAATATTGTCCTTTATTTACAAACGCTAAAATATATGAATTAATTCTGTAGTTAATACTATAATACAACGTCTTTCATTTTATATTTATTACTGGCTGCAAGGACCCGCTTCGCTGGGTTTTTATTTGTTCGTACATTTGTATGTAATATAGTTTTTTTANCTTTTAAAATGGCGTCAGATTAACGAAATATTACGAAATTTAGTAAAAATTGCACTGTCGGTCAATCGGAAAATTCGTCGGAAAATACTGGATGAACGAGAGGAATGATTTGTTCTAGTTTTGGGGGTGGTGACGTTCGATTATAGAAAATCTCGCTGTCAACCCCTTGTGGAGAATGGAAACCGAAGACAGGATGATAAGGAGTCTCTCGATCTTAATCCGTCGTCATTCGGGAGATAAAAACGTAAAAATGCAGATATTTAGCCTTAAAATTCAAAAAGAATCCATGACGCCAGTCGCATTCAAATTCGTTATGCGCTTTCTAATCTCCATAGAAACGGCAACAATTGCTGTTTCTATTGTTGCAACACGATTTTGTGTCACTTTGCACGTTTTCACTTGCCGTACAAACGTGTGCGCTCTTTGCTCCTGTTTTCGCTGTCTTTTTTGCCTTTTTTGGTGTTCTTTTCTACCGGAACGTGGTTTTAAGAAGACTTTTGGACGCCGACATTACACCAAGTAAGATTTTAATTAGAATTTATCTAGCTGTAAAATTTTATTTTCGTTTCGTTTAGTCCAACTTTCGGAGACGACATTGGCGTTTAAATATGCCGTCGCTTAGGACTTTTAAACAAGCGACCAAAGCGCCGAAAACGGATTAAGTATTTGCTCATTTGTTTATTCTCGTAATTAATTCATTTATATTTTATAAACACGGTCAAAGAATAAGGATTATTTATAGAAATTCAATTAAAAATTACTTAATACTAACTTTAAATACGAATTCCATCGTAATTTTANATTCTCGTAATTAATTCATTTATATTTTATAAACACGGTCAAAGAATAAGGATTATTTATAGAAATTCAATTAAAAATTACTTAATACTAACTTTAAATACGAATTTCAACTAAAATATACTCTGGTAACATTGATGGACGGAGACGGTATTCCAAAGCATGGGATGTTCGTTCGACAGGTGAAAAATTTTGCCCTTTGACCCCCGACTTCTCCATGCAATTTATGTATTAGTTTCAATGGAATTAAATTGTCTGCAAACACATCTAATACTTATACACTTAACAATTATCTATACAGGCTGGACACAAAGAATTCTTTTCCTAAGGCTCTTTGTCTATTTCCACAAGGTGATCTGAGTGCAGTCGATCTTCCACACTTACGTAACATTTAAGTGTCCCGAATGGGCACGTTTCACTTCTTCATACGTTTGTCTTGTGTTTTGGTCAACTCATTCGCAATTTCTTTGCACAAAACTCTTTTAAATGCCGTCGTTGCGTTTATGTGACGTACACGTTAGGGTAAATTAGTCTAGAACGAAACACTCGTTACGACTCGGGCTCGAGTGCCTTTTCCTTATGGCTACGTCTTTAATTTACTGTCGTACAAATACAAATTACACGTAAGAGAGTTTCTTCGTTTTGGGTCGATCGTCTCTACTGCAAATACAGTTGGGACGTTCTAGCAATTTCCGGTAGGATCTAACGCGAACTATCCGAATTCCGATTCGTCGTGAGTATAATTTTGAACTTTTTCTGCGTTAATCGGTCCCAGAAGACATCTCGGCACATCGTTCAATGGTGGGATTCGAATCTTTTAGATTTAAAAAGGCAGCTGCGGTGAGCATTTTGCTTTTTTTGGAAGAATTTAGACATTAATTTAAGCTTTTGTTTTAATCGACTAATTGCAAATTTTCTTTTTTTTTCAGAATGAAGATGTTGGAGTGGTTTCGCCGGAGGTTCCGACGGAAGAATGCGGTGGCGCCAGAGGGAGGGGGTTCCTCGGACGGCTCCGATGAGAGGTTCGAGGACCGTGGGCTCGGCTATGTCTCTGTCGAATCGATTAGTTTGGTGTCGTTGGAGACCGTCGAGCGAGAGGCAGAGGGTGGTGACAACCTTCCCCCAGTGCGTGTGGCGTGCGACTCTCCCGGAGGCGGGAGAGTTCTGAGTCCATTCCACTTGGTCAATGTCATCAGGGATCAGCCAGCAACAAGTCATGTTGTGGAAGACGTAGAGAGTGACGAGTTCTCTTGGAGTTCGACGTCACTTTTTACTTTCGCGTGGTCTGCCTCTCTGTACGCGCTTGCGAGCTCGTCGCCATCGTCTTTCCGAAGTCAGAATGGGGAAGCATCAGAGGAGAGTGCCACTGAAGTCGAGAAACCGCGGTTTTGTTGCTGCGGGTGGCTGCGTTTCCCTCGGCCTAGGCAATGATCCTCTTCGATTTTCCCCAACTCGTCCTTTTCACCCGGATGTGACATTCTGACCGGATTCGACACTTTTCACCCGGACATGACCTCTTTACTCAGACGTGGCCTTCTCTTACCTGGATGTTCTCACGGACTTGTCTCCTGAACGTGACACTCGATCGACAACAACGGATTTGATTTCCGATTGTGACCACCCGGACTTCACACATTTCTTCACCGGACGCGATATTCGGCCGACCTTTCTTCCCAAACAGCTGTTACGAGAATTGAGCTTCCGGTTAGGTTAGATTAGGCTAGGCTAGGTCAGGTCCTTCGCTGTCCTCATGACACTGTTTGGGAAGAAAGACTATCTGATAAAGGTAATGATGTTGACCTTAGATAATAAATGAATCAACTCCTTTTCTCACTGTCTTTGTGTTTTGTAGGAACATTTATTTGGGAGGGAGAAGGATCTCCCTCCCCAACTTTACCACAAAGAGGACGAAGTGGCCATTTATCGTACAAGTGAATGCTTTCCAAAATCTCCGATGGTAAGAATTCTTTAGTTTCATTTTTTAACACATCTTATTCTCGTATCGTAATTTACTGTTTTTCTGTTTTTAGACATGCCAAAGATGTTCTTGGATCACACACACACACGTACACGCACGGATATAACATCACTGTACACGAAGATATACACCGTTTAACCTTTACTCGAATTCTCGCACTCACGCATTTACATGTCAAGCGCCACGTTCTGTGTAATTCCACACAATGAAACAACCCAAACACACGCTTCCCACAAATCCAACCCCTGGGTCCTCGTCCCGGGAAGTGGAAACGCCAATTTTAAAGATTAAAACACTTTAAATTGGCGGCCGAAGGGGCTCTGGTAATCACACATCTTGCATGGATTAAGTAAATTTCAGACATTAGAATCAATAATCGTTTTGTGATGAATTTTTCTGTTAAATTTAGTGTGGTAAGAAATTATCTGCGCACACATCTCGCTCATAGTATTGCTAACTCTTACTTAAGATCATTAAAGATCTTAATCTTTATACCCATTTTTGGTTTCTCAAGATCCACGATGTGGGCTGTAGGACTGTATGACATGGGACTTCACAGACCGCCCTGGGTTCTTCAACAGCCTGAATCGATGTCAGAGCGGTAAACCGAAGTCTTAACCAATGTTCCCTCTAAGCTGCGCGATCGCACACTGCTCAAATTGTTGCCGCGCACGAGAATTTATATGCCGCGCAGACGAGTTTGAATTTGGATGGCAGGAATTTTCCAAGTCTGCATTATAGTTGTCTATGCCGTGGTTTTTAATCTCATTTATTATTTCTAAGCTTTCAATTGGGTAGTTGGCTTTATTGATTAATTGTTGGATGTCTTCGTTGCTGGTGTTGTCCAGCTTGATGGTGAATAGGTTCCAGGTCCAATATAGTCCCCTAATTTTAATATGTATTGGCATGAGGTTAGCTAGGACCAATAGGGCGTCATTTGGGGCCGTTCTGTATGCTCTACAGATCCTTATTGCGGAGCCACTCTGCGCTGAAAGCAGTTTTCTTTTGTTATGCACTATGTTTGCCCTTTTCCCCCAGATCTGGGCCGCATAGAGCAGTGCCGGCTCAATGGCACCCTTATAAATCAAGGAGGAGTGTTTGGCACTAATACCCCAAGTATTCCTGGAGATCTGGTACAGCATGTTTGTTTTCTTCTTAACTTTCTGGCATATCGTCTCAATATGGCTTCCCCAATTTAGGGTTGGGTCCATAATGACCCCCAAGTACATAAGATTCTGGGTAATCTTAATCTTGTGACTTTCCAGATAAATGCCGAGAGGCCGTTGCAGCTGTTTCCTTTTGGACCTTTTAGTGCAGACTAGTGCCTCGCACTTTTCAAAGTTAACAGGAAGTTTATTCCGTACGTTCCATTCATGGATTTTTCTAATATTTGGTTGCCCTTCTGCTCGAGAACATTGCAGTTTTGATGCCTCACCATGAGGAGGGTATCATCTGCAAAAGCTTGCAGCTGGAAGGAGTTGTCACCCTGCAAGGAATAAAGAAGGTCGTCAAAGGCCAGGTTCCACAAGCCCGGACCGCTCCGTGAGCCTTGTGGGCACCCTCTGTTTACTCCTTTGATAATATTCATTCCCCCATTAATGTATCATACTTTCCTTTCGGCCAGATAGCTTTCTGTTAAGTTAGAAATATTTTCCGGACAACCAGTCTTCCTCAGCCTGTATTTGACCGATGGCCACCATAAGTTGTCGAAGGCCTTTTTATAATCAATGCTCACTAGTAGAGCATGCTGATCCTTTTCCCACGCTTCCTCTACAAATTCTGTTACTTTCCTTATTGCCTTTATTGTGGAACCCCCAGGGCGAAAGCCGTACTGGTTTTTGTTCATTTGATTGTTAGTGGCTAGGTGCCAGTTTATACGTTTGATGAGAAGACCGTCCAAAACCTTGCCTATTACCAGCAGTAGGCATATGGGACGGTAATCCTGCATGGAAGCAGGGTACTCTGCCTTTGGGATAAACACAACATTAGCAATCTTCCATTTCCGGGGGAAATAGCCTGTCCTCAGACAGCCATTAAATATGATTACAAATGCAATTGGTATCTCTAAGTAGGCCTGCTTGATAGTCTCGGCCATAATACCGTCAATCCCTGGAGATTTCTTGCTGGCTAAGGAATGGATTGCAATGTTAATTTCCTGGAATGTGAACCACTTATCCTGTTTGCCTTTATATGTTGATTCAATTTCTTTGCGTATATTGTTTTGTTCCTCGTTGTCTGTATTGTCGTTAGGAAAATGATAGTTTAAAAGTTTCTTTATATTTTCATCAATATTGTAATCATTCTGTGTCATGCCTGAGATGATGTTCGGGATGAAAGCTTTTTTATTTTTTTTAATGCTATTTTAAACGGGTCGCCCCATGGGTCCTTGAATGGTTTACCACAGTAGGTGCGCCACGCTTTTGTCCTTGTTTTGTTAATCTCCACCTTATAGTTTTTATGGGCCTCGCTATATTCCTCTTTCCTTCGCTCCTTTGCCTCTAAGTTTTGCTCTCTCATCCATCGTTTCCTTAGGATTCTTACTGTTCATTTTTTGTTTTCTAGTCTGTCCGTCCACCAGTGAGTACGGTAGGTATTACTGGGTTTCAGGGTGGAGGAGAGGATATTGGCAGAGTTGATAGAATCTGTGAGGTGTTGTACATAATTATCAATTGAGCAGGGATCAATAAGAGGTACGAAGTTATATCTTCTCCAGTTACTTGCGAAGAGGGATCGGAATTGGTCCCAGTTCGTCCTCTTCTGGTATTTGTTAGTCCCAAGATCCAGTTGTGGATGGTTGTAGTTTAGCGTTGTGAGGATATAGCGGTGATCGCTAACAGAGTCCTTAAGAATGGTTTCGCAATTTATGATTATGTTGCTTAGTTCCGTGGGTGCCAGACAGATGTCTGTCCAGCCCTGTGCCCTACCATTAAAGAAGGTGGGAAGTTTCGATGTATTCATGGATGTAAGGTCGTATTCATTTAGAATGTCTTTAATTAGCCTTCCTCTTTCGTCCTCCTCCTCATGGTGCCAGATAGGGGATTTTGCATTGGCATCTCCAGCTACTAATAGCTTCTTGAATTGTAAGGCTTGGAAAATGCTCCCCAATTCATTTACGCAACTCTTGTCCTCTTCGTACGGTGAGAAGTAAATACAGATTACGAACTCAATAGGTCCATTCTGTATGCCCACTGTGGTTATTTTTGTCAAGCTCAAGTCTGGTATTAGAGCTGCATTTATATTTTTATTGCGTATTATTACGCCACTTTTTGGTCTTTCTTCACCTTTGCCCTTGTAAAGAACCTGCCATTGGCCAAAGCATATAATTGCATTGTTTTTAGTGTACGGTTCTTGAATTAAAATTATGTCCGCTTCCAGATCGTTTGCGGTCTTAATCACCAGAGAAGATGCCGCCTGGGATTTTTGGGCATTTATCTGAAGTATTTTAAAGTGATTGTTGGCCATTATTATATTCAGTTTGCCAAAAAGGATTCTCCGGGTAGTATTATTCATAACTTGTTTGTCTTACCAGTAATCTTTTGTAACTTTTTAATATGGGGCAGTTGGATGAGTAGGCATTATGATCCATTTTATATTTTTGCCCCTCTTGTAGTTTTTTGTTGGCTTTTGTACAGTGAGTACAGGTTGGTTCTTCATCTTTTAAGGGGCAATCTTTATATTTATGCCTCTTTGTGCAGTGGCTGCACCTTGTTTTTTTATCACAATTTTTGGCCATATGCCCAAATCCCGTGCATTTATAGTATCTCAGAACTGGTATATATTCATCCACCGCAAAAGATCCCCATTCATAGCTTACTTGCCCCATATTTATTAGTGTATTTCTGATCACTGGTTGCACTGCCATTATGGCGTGCTTATGAGCTTCTCCCTTCCTTGATTTAACCACATGGGTTATTTCAGTGTTTTGTTTAAATGCTTCTAGTGTATATTTCTCCCTTATTTCGCTGTTCTGCTCGTATATTTTCCGTTTTAGTTCTGACTTTCTTTCTTCTTTTGGGACATTGAGTATTATTACTTCGAGGTTCCTTCTTCTTGGAGTTGTTATTTTAACTTTTTCGTTTACTTCCGGGATTTGTTCAAGTGCTTCCTTTAAGTTTGTCAGATCTTGATTTGTTTTGACTTTGAACTTCAGCCCTCCTCTTGACATGTTCTGTACATTTTTAACCCCTACGTTCAATTCTGTTGGATTTATTTTCTCCATTATAGTACTCATTTCTTCTTCTGGGCTTATTGTCTCCCCTGTATCTGATTCCATTGGTTCAAGTATTAGTTCCTTAGGATTGCTTTGGTGGGTTTCTCCTGAAATTGTTTCTGATATTAAAGCGGTTGCTTGACTCTTGTATGATTTCCCCCTCTTTAACACCTCGGCATAACTTACCCTTCCTTCCGTGTTTCTAGATCTCAGTGCTAAGACAATACCGAACAGGCTGTTGGCAGCTGCGTGCATGTCCATAGCTGCTTGATGCACACTTTTCTGCTTCTTAGTCGTTACCGACCCGTGTGAATTTGCTGGAATAGCCTCCATAATAGTGTCCAGGCTAGCGGAGACTATCTCCAGAAGATCCTTCTCCGGAGTGTCCAAGTAGACCGCCATGTCGTAGAAATAGTCCTTATGGAGTCACCAGTTCAATAGAGAAGTAAAAAGAGTACACCACGAGGAGTGTCCTCCAATACAAAAATTCGCGGTAAATTTCCGAGAAGAATGATATATGACACACCTGAATACACCAAGCGTAGCCCGAGAAAACTGGCCCGAACGCCACCGAATTAGGGTCAGTAAGGAAGCTGACCCCGGCCATGTGGTAGGTCAATGACCTTTACCTCCTTTGTTTAAAGCAGATTTAAGATCGCTTGAAATACAGAAACTAATAATCCAAAGTACACGAGAATTACAGCATGAATAGATGCTATAGCAGTAACAGTAGCACCCGATTATAGGAGGATTCAGTGGCCCGAGAAGCCTGCGCGGCGGCCCGAACCATATACAACCAACGATCGCAATAAGAAGGAAACGAAATGCCGGAGCGGAAAACCGACGACGGCGGAGAAAAAAGGGTTAAAAGCCAAGTAGAAAGACATATTGGGCAACGACTTACTGGTGGAAAGCGCCTGGAAATGGCGGCCGGAAAAGTTGGAACTTCCGGACGTTACAACTTTTGATCCGCTGCACCAATCCGGAAAAACAGGACATCAAACATAAGCACTCGTTGAGACGAATCTAATGATGTAGATATATCCACAGATGGGGGGCTTTAATAGCTATATGTTTACCATCTACAACTCCAATCACTCCAGGAAAACCAAACTTTTTCATATAATATTCGCTTGTTTTAAATGCCTTCTCTTGGTTTGGCCAAGAAAGTATGCCTTCTCTTTTATTTAAGTCCAAAAGTGCAGACGAAAATTCATGCAGTATTTTCCAAGCCGTTCGTCTGCATACATTAAACTGATCCGCAGCTAACCTGAAAATGAAAATGCGTGTTAAGTTGCTACATAGTATTGTATATACATATATATTGATTATTTGTATATAATGCAATATATTAACAGCATTATACAGTCTGTTAATTAATTATAGCCACACTTAGGTTAGGTTAGGAATTTAAGAGAAATGATTTCATTTGTATATGCAAATTATTTTACAGATTTTTGAAAATTTCAAAATTAATCATAATATTAATAATTTAACAACAAAAATATATTTTTTGGTTTCCCAAAAGTATAGATAATAAAACAAAATTGCAAAATTTGAAGCATAAGAAACTTATAATTATAAAAATAAATGGCATCACACAGCACTTTTACTTTGTTGTCAAGTAGTAATTTAAATACTGAATCAAAACTTTCCAAAATTCCACATGGAAAAGATTTTAGTATGGAAGAAATTACATGAATATGGAAATTAAAAGCAGAAGGCTGTAGTTTCAAGGAAATTGCAGTTTAAATGAACAGATTTACTCCTGGAATTTATAAAATTTTGGAAAAACATCACTAATACCTTCTAAACATTGATCAGGAAAGCCCAAAATCATATGTCAAAGTGGTAGTGATAGAACTGTGCATCTTGCATCACAACAGAATAAATTATATTGTCAAATTTTGTGTGAAAGTGGATAAAAAACATCGAAAAGCACTATTCATCAAAGAATTTCAGCAGCTCCACATGTGAAATTTGATGCCTTGATAAAAAAAATCATCAGTAACAAAATTGGAAAGAATGCAGTAGACCAAAGGTCACATGCTGTGGAATGACTGATAGCTCTCAGTCCTTTACAGTAATGAAAAGAAATTTAATTTGTATGGTCTAATTACTGGCATGGTATTAGGAAAGATGCATGCAGTTTTTCAGAAGTCAATAAGGTGGTGGTTCTGTTATGGTATGGGGCTGCTTTGGATTTAATGGTTTATCAAATTTAGGGATTTTAACTGATAGAAAAACATCTAAAAATTATCAAGAAGTCTTAAAGTAATTTATTACCTATTGGAGAAGAAATTAAGAGGGACAAACTGTAATTTAATGCAAACAGAGTATTTAATCTTAGTTGTACCATTTTTAGCTTCTGTATGTATAAATTTACCTTTAAAATATAAAAATTTGGTGTGGTTATATTTAATTGACACAAAAAGATCAAGAATTTACAAAATTTATGATGTTAAAAATTGTTAAATTCTATTTTACAGTATAAATAAGTTATGTTTAAAGTTTCATTTAAGAATTCTTTATAGTTTTCTTTTAATTCAAAAAAATATATGCATTTTGTTAATTTTAACCACAATTCATATTATTAACATGAATCTCAATTAACGATATAGATCTGTACTTTACCTGAACGGAGCTTGATTCGATAACAAGTAGAGACTGCACAATATTTTTTTCTCCACTGTCAATGGACATCGTCCTCTTGAATTCTGTTTGTTAAGTAAGGGCACTAATTTTGACATTAAAATGTCCACAGTTGTTCTGTTAAATCGAAAATGTTCTTGAAAATCCTTCAATCGGTAACTTGGCACGGTGTACTCAACATACCCTTTTACTTTCTCAACTGACTTGCTATTCTCGCCACTGGATGAATTCGCCTCAGCTTCTACTGCAGATATTGCACATTCTAACAACAGATCATCGTCTTCAGACTCAGAATCTAACGACTGCAGTTGAGAAATTATAGCTACAGCCGCTGATACTAAACTGGAAGCCGCCATTGCTGTGTATACTTTTACCAGCGTGCTAGTATGACGTCAGACAGCGCTAGGTGTCAGCTCAGCAAGCTTAAGCTAGCAAAAAGTAAACGCACCCATAGGAATGAAAACAGAAAGTAGCGCAAGTGCCCTACTGAATCTGAGATAAATACAAGTAAAAGGTAGGAAATGTCGAATTATTCCTATAGAAAACCGTGAAGTGGTTATTAATATACATTGGCTACCGCCAGTATTATCACATGATCTGGTTTATAGACACTTTATAAATTACAAAAGAATTTTAAAGTGCAAATTTTTAAAATCGTCGGTGCCTGAGTTAGAACATGTCCTTACGAACAAAAGGCGAGTATGGTTAGGACTAAAACAGGGAATCAGTACCGAAGAATTGCCGTATTTTATAAGGGTGAAAGGTATGACTGGATCGGTTGTCATCGTGGGCAGACTACTACTATGTTATCGATGCAAACAATTTTGTCATATCAGAAGAAACTGTATCGCAAAAAAGTGCGAAACATGTAAAAAATTTGGTCATACAATCGAAAAGTGTATTGGAAAAACGTATGCTTCGGTAACAACGGTCGAAAGCAAGTGGTGTGGTGAGGTAGACAAAGAGCCAGAAAACAATAAGGCAGCAGGGGAGGAGACAATGCCAACGTTATCAGCAATGACGAAGCCCGCGGTGTCGTCTCTAGTCAAACAAAACAACAAAGAAGAATTTAACAGGAAACCACTAAGCACTGACGAGAGACAAAATTCGTCCGGAAGTGAGTCATCGCCCGAAAGCCCTCCTGACAAACAGAGGAAAAAGTGAAGGAGGAAAATTAAGGCTACTCCATCGATTAAATATAATGAAGTCAGGCTTATACTAGACACTCAAAATAGTTGTGACATGGCAGACATTGTCGTAACTACGAATAAATTCGAAATCTTAAACACAACAAACCAAGAAAAAATAAAATGCGAAAATTTAATAACATCGGACGGTACTCTTTCAGGGATAACCGAAAACGTCCACACAACGGTTAATAACAAACAAGAGGTTATGATTGTTTACCCAAGATGCGAAGCAAGCTATGCATCATAACGGTTAATGTAAACGAGCTCAACGTTCACAACAAACAGGACCTTTTAGTACAGTATCTGTTGCAGAACAACATAGACATGGCTCTATTGCAAGATACTAGACTTGGCAACAACTGGAATGCCACCGTGTTTAGAAATAAAATCGACAATCATTTTAGCTCTGT